CTCTCTCTCTCTCTCTCTCTCTCTCACACATGTTCTCTCTCTCTCTCTCTCTCTCTCTCTCTCTCGCACACTCGGGATCTGCATTATTAACGGATTGTGCACATATACACGTACAATTAACATATACGGCGTAGCGGTCGTTGAGAACATTCATGATTGACTTCTGCTACAATTATACAGCTTATTTAGAATACAACTATTCTGTTATAAATGGTCAACGTAACACCTGCGATGTGAGTTTTCTTTATGTCAATCTTTTTTGGGTGTATATGGGACTGTATATATAGTATGTATGGATTTGTGTGTACGTAATGTGTGTCGGTAGATTATTGTTTTATCGTTAATGTAATTAATATTAATATTAGGCGTATATATATAGTACAGCTTACACACCGTACATTACATACATACAAATGCCCGCGACAACCGGAAAAGTTTCTATTCTATCGACTAGCATTTGGATTACACATCGATAAATCAGTTTTTCTTGTCTACATTTTCTACACTTGTATATTCTTTCTCTTCGTTCTCCCAAAATACGCATGTGAAGAGAGAAAAGTAGGGAATAACATGAAATAACTTTCCGATCATCATTATAATTTACAATTTTTGAAATTAATGACTTTATTTTATTGAGATACGTGCACCGTGTTTATTTCAAACGCTAATTAGCCACAAATTAGATAGACAGTTGTACATACAAAATTATATATTTAAAAAAAAAGGAAGAAAATGACGTCACATCTCAAACTTTTATTCTACTTTACATTTTTATGTTTGTTTTAAGTGCACAAAGTGTAGAAAAAGAACAATAAGCAGGAATTGAAATCTTACTTTAATTTCGATGAATTCAGATTTGAACACTACAGACACAGATAGACACGATCTCTGACTAACTGTAAATAGGAGCGCGACAATTGGTATAAGAATTTTCCATATCTATAGAAGAAACCTGAATTCGTCGAAGTTAAACCAGTTTCAATGACTTGCTGACAGCCGCGTTTTTTAATCGCACATTTTGCGTCGCGTCTCTTCCTCTTTTCTGTTTTCTCAATCTCACGATCGTAGGAGAACGTGGTTGTTCTGAAAATCCGCTATTTGCAACAATTCGCAACGATTTCGTCGCGATCAATTAGTCGCACATTAATTACTTAACGCGCCCGGTGTCGCGGGCCGCGTGATTTCACACTTTTTGCGAAATCCCTAAGTTATTATCTCGTACATTACATCTCATTACAGATTCAATGATACATGATAGATACCTTTTTTGTTTTTATTATCTCATTTATGTACAGAGGGCAGCTTGCCTAGTAGGTAGGTTTTAACGCCGAATGAGACGACTGAAGTGGTAAGCGGGACGCCGATACTCCTCGATAATTGACGCTAGGATCGATGCTTCTGATTCCGCTGAATGATAGATACAGTATCGTTAAATTCGTATCCGCTTCTCGTTATGACCTTCGCCTTCGTCGATCCCAAGACTAATATTCGCAAATTATTAAACGTTACGTAATATTGCGATATCGCATTGACAATGTTTCGAAAGCTCAAAAGGTTTAATGTATTTTTTCACGATTTATCGAGAGCAAATAACATTCTCTTTTGTCATAATCTTCCTTCTCGCTTGCTGTCGCTTGGTGAACAATTAGTTACGCATAGCATCAAAAATTGGAGTTTCTTTCGCGATACAATTCTCTTGTCGCAATTCTTTTATATTAGGTAATAATATACTACATTCTGAACGAGACGTGATGTGAAAGAATTTATACGAACCGTGTTAGAACGGGAAAAATGAAATTAAAGCAGAGTTATAAATATTGACAATAGTTACAACGCAATTAAAATATTCTCAGAATTTATGATCACAAGATTGTGATCAGAACAGTATTGAATTGTGATGATTTATAATGAGTATGAATGTGGCTTATAATTATCTGATGCACTTTTTATTTGATGACGCTGCGACGATTTTCTTCGCACTTAACATCAGCTTATAAGCGATTTTGAAATGCTAGAATTTCCATGAATAGAAATAAATAGTGTATATAATTGGCGTCACTGTTATCGTCGAGACACTTTAAATGCAAATTACAAAAATTACTCGCCGAGTACATGCCAATAAATCATCGATTACGCATGAATAATTGAATACTAATCGAATAACAATCAAAAACTGTTAAGCTAACGCTCTAATGCTAGAAAGATTTGAAAATAATATTTTATTGTAGGAAATAAATGCAAACTTCTTTTAAAAGTACATCGAGCGTGTCACTTAAAACATTTGAAAACGTATCGCTGAAATATTTTTGTTTTTAAACTACATTTAAACAATTCATCAATTTGGACTATTCGATTTGGAGTTTAATTGCGAAATTTATTTAATTTGCAATAACAAATTTCTTTCGCTTTGCAACGAATATTGATGTAATAATCGTCAGATTGATTCTCAACTGATACACACGTATTCTGTATTTACACACACGTTTCTGTACTTAACCCTTCAACTCCTTAGGTCTCCGCAAATGGTTAAACATTTTTCTGTATGTAGGTACTAATCTTTTATTAATGCAATAGTCGCAATAACTGCTATAGAGAATGTCGCTAAACGTTAAATTTACTAGACAATATTTAATAAATATTTTTTCCGTGTATCTTCTAGATAGTTTGCAATTGCAACTTTGAAACAATGTTATAACGCGATGAAATTTCACATAGATTATTCACATTGTTTGCATGAATTTAGACAAAAGGAGCTAAAGGCTTTTTGTTAGTCTCCGACTGATCGATAGTCTGAATTCGTGTAGCTTTGTTGAGTGATTGACATTTATTGTCAGGTTTTCTTGGGCGCATATTAATTAACGCGTATACTTGAGACATGGAGTCGCTCCCTTCGGTCGTGCCTGATAATTCTGAGTTTACAGTGCCAAACATCGAGCAACATCGTCCCCGCTATAATGGTCATCGTCATTAATTATTATCAATCGTGGAACAATGCGCATTCGTCTAACTTTTCCTCCTCGCGGTTTCTTTTTCCTCTCATTAATAGAAATCAAAGTCGGTATTATTCCGTTGAGCTCAGATCTCGATGCTACAGACGTGTGATAATAATCTCTACGATTGAGCAAAATAGTAGTATCCATTATGTGCGTGTAATTATTTTAGCACAATATAAAACTTGAGATTTTTCGTTGGATTTTTTTATAGAATTGTAAAAAAATACTATGGTAAAAGTAGTTGAATTTATTATTTTCCTACATCCTTTTCTTTCTTTTGCTCATTTTTATCCAGATTAATGCTAATCGCGACTCGAGTTCTTTTTTTTATTCTCTAGAATAAAGTACTTAGTAAATTTTTAATTTATTTTATTAATAAATTTTAACTAATCTTTATAGGAACAGTCCGCGAATACCATTATTATTTAATGTGACTATTACGATTGATGATACGCTTATTTCTGATAATAAAAACGTGACAATTGGCGAAACACGTTTTTGCGTAGCATAGAGATTTGAATTTTTCGGAATTATACGAAATCTTACTCTTTTAACGCAAGCGAATGAACCGAAAGGAGGACCACGGGCTTTCTCTCGTTCGATCGTCGACCAATTCGGTCGCAGCTCGATGATCACAATTGTTATATATATATATATATATTTATAGCGTACATTATTCATATATATATCATCTCGCGTCAAGAAAAGGTAAAACAGGTGAAAAAAAGGGCAAACCGCCGAAATAAATAACGTAACGAGGGAACGACGAAGTAAGAGTGGACTAGTTAACACACTAGCGTCGCACACGACATTTCCTTCCTCTCTCGTTCTCTTTTTTTTTCGCTAACGCGACACGCATACACACATGCATACACACGTGCGCTCAACACGCGCGCAACACACGTATACGATCTCTCGCGTTTCCCCGCTACTGCGTGCCGCCACATTTTCTTTTAGCAATTACAGTTGGCGTTCGCTGGATTGGTCGGCTGATCGGTGAGCCGTTGACCCTTACCACCGGGTTGACCACCCACACCGCCCGCCATTAGAGTCGGATCATTGTCCAGAGACTCGCTCATCTTGTCGCATATTATATCCACCAGCTGCTCGAACACCGCCTGCCGAAACGAGAGAGACAGAATTGATCATACCGCATGACCTCGCGATAGGCGGGATCGATATATCGCGTTCGTGTCTACTTCGAGGTACAATAACGCGAAATGTGTGCCAGGGATGGCGGCCAAAAATTCTCACGAGTTTCTCCATTATTTTCATTGTGTAGAAATGAAATTTTTTTAAAAATTAAACTAATTTATAAATTAATAAACGAAAATTAATTCTTAAAATAAGACATACCTTAACGTTGATGTTCTCTTTAGCCGACGTTTCGAAGAAGCGTACGCCTAATTGATCCGCTAACTGTTTACCCCTCTCGATGCTAATCACTCTTTCCTCCTCCATGTCGCACTTGTTGCCCACGAGAATAACCTGAGCGTTGTCCCACGAATAATTCTTTATTTGTGTGACCCAGTCCTGCACCGAGTTAAACGATTCTTCGTTTGTGATATCGTACATTAAGATGAAACCCATCGCGCCTCTATAATAGGCCGTCGTGATCGTTCTGTATCTCTCTTGACCCGCCGTGTCCTGTTGGAATAAACAGTAATCGATAAATGTTGCGATCCATTCGTCAAAAGCAATTATTGCGTAACATTATTTTTATTATAAATTTTTTTATATTTTGATCATCTTTCTTGTTTAATATTTTAGAAATATCAATCATGCTTTTCAAGAACCAATTATAAACATCGCGAGAAACGTATTATTTTTATGACGTGCATTAACTTTTCTAGTGGAAATAGAATATATGCGAGTAGACAAGTAGTGATATACTGACCCAAATTTGTAGCTTGACCCTTTTATCGTGTCTGAAGACCGTCTTCACTTTAAAGTCGATCCCTACGGTCGACACGAAAGCCGAAGTGAAGGAGTCATCTGCATAGCGAAAGAGAAAGGAAGTTTTTCCGACAGACGAGTTGCCGATTATCAGCAACTTGAACATGTAATCGAAGTTTTGATCTGCGGCATCTCTGCCATCTTGGCGCGCCATCTGCAAAAAATTACTTATATTAATTTTTAAAAATTTATAAAGAAATGTATAGAGAAGTTTATTCACATAAACTTAAGAACTTATATATTGACAAAACCTATAAATTAGGATTAAAATTCATGAATAGTTATATTTTTAATTTCTAAAACAGAATTTAATATTTTTATGAAAGAATTTTTAACCGTAAAGCTATGAACCAATTTGCAAAACTTATAATATATCAATACAGACAATTAATAACCACAGAAATTATAAGAACAATTATTTTTAAATCGTATACTTATGTGCGAAATCGACGGGGAATAGAAAAAAAGATAACGCAACAAGGTTTATGGATTATGATTGATTTTGCACGTGCATGTCGTAAAACTGCACTCATGATTCGGGTGGGAAGTTGTGCGATGCAACAGATGAGTTTACTAGTGATGCAAAATTTGCTACACTTTATTGAGCCGCTCCGCTTTTGTTCGTATAAAACGTTGGATAAAAATATCGAAAAATTGGAGGCCGTAGCACGTAAAGCCGCATAAAAGAACTTCGTAAAGCTTTACCTTTATTTATTTATAGATTCGATTTTGGAATCAATTCGACGGCATTGATAAGAAGTATTGTAACTGCAAAACTGCAACTTTTTAGAAAAATTATTTATATAACAGTTTTTCTTCTTCTCTTGTTTGATCATCAATTATGCAATTAAAATAAAAATTACATAAGTATAAAACTCTATGTATTAGAATTATTTTGTATTTTTTATTATATTACTAATAAAATAGTACTGAAATTTAAGTAAAAACGCAGTTACAATATGTTTTATTAGAGCCGTTAAATCATAAATTGATCATTTACTAATTACTACCAAATCATTTGCCATAAATAATTACATAATTTTAAGAATTATTTCAAAACTCTTAATCCTTTTGAAAAGTAACACATTAAATAAATTACTAAACTTGAAAATCGTATAAAAAAACATTCAAATTCTGTTAGTATCTTGTAGCATTTTCAATTGTCTATGACTTCGCTGTTGACTTGATAGTCTCATAAATTGTTCAATTAAAGAACAAGCGGAAAATTCAATTATTAATTCCTCGACCATGGAATTCACAAATCGCCAATATTATCGCACATGTAAGCCTTAATTGAAGTCCATTGAGTTTGCTCGCGCGTTTTCTCTCTGTTAGTTTTTTCTCCACTCGACGAGAGAGTGCTAGAGAGTAACAGATACTCGTCAGAGTCGATATTCCGGTACCGGGGTAATCTCGACAAAGGACATCATCCGAGCCATCCGCGTGCGTAGCTCGAAAACGGAGTCCTTAACCGGCGTGCAGGACACGTTCTTGCACCTCTTCGACATCTCACACGTCACACCGACGTGACACCCGATCGATCTTTTCCCTCTATTCTTCCTTTACTGCAGCTTTCGATCACGTTAACGGAAGCGATCTCTCTAGTCCTGTTCTAGTCTCGTTTTATTAACTGCAATTCATTAATCATTTTATCTTAACCGTCTGTGGCTTCGTTTTATTAACTATAATTTATTTACCGTTTTATTAACTGCGTGTCCTATTTGAGGCGTCAACTGTCTTATTAATTATTTTAACTTTGTGTTTAACGCCCGTGCCATTAAATGACAGCGATGTCAAGTAATAGTTATTTCGCTTTATTAACTAACGAATGTCCGTTTAACAATTTACTTTGTTTTAATTCCTCTTCAAACTAGCATTTGAGGGTTTTTCTGATATAATTACTATTGATCGCTTTTTCGATATTCACTATGTATTCTTTCACGATACCGATGCGATGCAAAATGTAACATATTGTCTTTTGAACCACTTAATTAATCAATCGAATTCGAGCAATTGAATGGTAAAAGAAATTATTGCGAGGTTCACTCCGTCCGCGTTCACTGTAAAAGGCATTATTAATACGGAATTATTCAAATTGACTCGTATAGTGTAGTTTGAACGACGAATGAGAACGATGTGGCCACGTTTGCAGTTCTATCTTTCGTTCCTCGTTCCACAATACTATGTTTCTTCCGCACACCGCACACATAACGTGTCAATGACGATAATCGGACCTGCTGCGAATGATAACATGCGGTTCGCACATGTGTATATTTACATTTGCTTTATCTTTTAATTTTTTTTAATTTTTCATGGTCATTATTGAAGTCACAAAGATTTTTATAAGAGAAATGTTTTTAATGAATTGCATAAAATTGATTCTTCTTTTCTTGTTTACAATAAACATTTTCGCTTGGCTCTTATTTTTTTATACTTTCTTAATTAGTAATTAATTAAATTACAAATTAAAATAAAAATTTTATTAGAGTTATTGCGATATTATTTAAATGTCGAATTTGAAAGAATAATGTACACTTACATAAAAATGTCATACATTTTAATATTGAGTGATGTGTGTTTTACAATTTTTTAAAATAAAATTTAAATCTTGAAGTTATATAAGAATGTCAAATAATAAAGTTGCGTAAAAATATAAAAACTCTTTTTTATATATAATACATCGTATGCATAACTTTGTCGCAATATCCTGAAATACAACAAATGATATGTTACAAAAATAGACTTACTTTTACGCGACAAGGGGAAACTTTTTTTGTTTCAATGAAACGACACATAATCTATTAAGCGTGACAGTAATTAACGAAGGTATTGCTTTTCGCAGTTTACTCTGTCGCCTTTTTTCAACATACAACTGACACTGGCTATAGTGATGATAAGATAAAGGAAGATATTTTCGAGTTTATCGATTATAATCAACTCGTCAAAAGTAATAGCGGCTATATTCGCGGTTGGAATAAATCAGTGAATTGAGAACTATAAATACACGAATGTAAAACAGTATAGGAACTTTTAGATCTGGTAGGAAGTTTCTATTGATTTCACGCTCGATTCATTGTATAGGTTACTTTAGAAGCAAGGAAGACAACCATTGCGTCAACAAACTTTTGTTTGCTCGGAATTGAGTTTTGAAAGAAAATATGATACTTGAAAATAAAATCAAAGATTTTTAAAATTTCGTTAAAATATTTTTCTTCTTCTATTCTTTTATTTAGACAATTAAATTAGCCTGAAAATGTCATCAAAATTTGCTTAAAATAAATTTCTTTTGAAAATCATAGAACTTTATTGAATCTTTAGAATTTAATATTCTAAATTCTTCCAATGAGTTTGTAATTCTAAAAAATTTATTAATAAATAGAAATTTGTTATTTGTTTAGAGTTTGTTTTTTAAAACTTGCTTTCTAACATTCTTTCTTTTCGCTTACATATGACTGAAACATTATGGATGCCTCGTCATTTTCGATGTGCAGAATTCGATTGGTCACACTTGCAAATTTTCAAATTTTCGATTTTAAACCTATACGTCTCCACACATTGCATATCACTGTTTGGCGTTATTGAGGCAAATTGAACGGGCGTTAAGCGAAGACAATCAAGACAGTACGACTGCGACGATTGCACAGGGAACACTACATATAATTATTTCGCGAAACGTGTGATAAAAGGGCCGAGGATAAAATCTCATCCGGAAGATTGCGTCACGCACTTATGCACACGTTTATATATGTATTATACGACGCGGTTAAGAAAAAGTAGGACAAGGTTTTCCGTGTGCGATAACGATATCGGCGCTGTACGTCATGTCAACGTTAACAACGGTCGGTTCGCGTAAAAAGTGTAAGTATGCGCGCTACAATCTGCGCGCACTTGTTGTGTATAGTGCCACGACGATTTTCATGACGGATAGTGGAAGGTAATTGAGCGTTTCTCGAGAGACAGATGACAATTCAGGCGACGGACTGTTCTACGGAGGTCAAGTAGATACGAAAATCGATGGCACGACGACGATGGGACAAGTCCATTTCTTCTCGACAACTTTGTTCACGCACAAGTGCAACTTAACGATGTTAATTTTACTATTAGTGCCCTTTTATTCCAGTTGCTAGTATGATCAATATATTCGAAATCTTTCTTACTTCTTTGGATATTCGTTATTTAGATTTCGGATTCCGTAGGAAATTTTCTTTTCAAAACTTATCGAAACATATGTTCGAATAGCACACATTGCAAAGTGTCTTAGGTTCTACGTATGTTCAAGAAATTCTGGATCCTATGAATAGTTTTGTAGAACATTTAATTTTAATTTAACTTAAATGTTGTAATAGCAAACGCTACTATAAAATTCAGATTGAAATCTACATAGAATGAAATTCAAATAGAAAAAGTTGTAAGAACGAGAATTTCTCGGCTTTCCTTGACTGTTTGACTTGCGGTAACTTGACTCAAGGCGAAGTTGCCATGCCGTTGAATTGTCAGAGTGCACGATTACCGCACCGACTTCGGTTGGACGCATAATCACCCGCTTCGTATTCGCAGTCACGTTGATTCCGTTGACGACAGCAAGAACGACAGCGAGGGAGCAAATATTTTCGGAAGCAAATCGATTGTTATACTCCGTTCCCGCCCACGCTCGCGCTCTTGCTCGCGCCGCCCGCCCGTTACGTAGTTTCGATTTCAGTGCATCGACAGAATGAACGGCGGCGAAAGATGGAGCCTCCGTTTACGTCATAGGCACGCGCGTTAGCGTAAAGATATAGTCTTGCAACAACCCTCCGGCGCCTACGCCGAAAACGAATAATTAACTCTGTCGAGATGTTCAGCTGATTATTTCACGACGGGTTTCTTATAAAATTCTCGTGTTTATCTGTCAGATATTGATTTTCGATAAATCAACAACGTGTAGTAAAACAACAATAGTAGTTAAAACAACTAAAAAGTAAAAAACGATGAAATTGAAATATGACGGTAACCGAAGGAAAATTATAAAAATAAGATGTTTAATGTCAAAGTAAAGAATTCATTTTGTATGATAATGCTACATTTGTAAAAGATTAACGATTTCGTTTTTCACCGCGAACATTCTCTAAGAACATCGAAGAATCACTAACAATTATTGCGCCTGATTATGGAAGTCGACACTCAGCTGGGTGTTGGAAGACAGAGAACTGATTTATCGATATATTCTTTCATCTTCTCCAATTTTGACAATTAACGAAAAAATGAGAGAATTTATGACACAGTGCGATGTCTCTACAAAATCTTAGCGCTAAGAAAATCATAGGAAGAGATGCTGGCGTAAAAAGTGTATAAATGGTCAGGAATTGATTGGAAGAGAGAGCAGAGCATGGTCACCTACGTCACGACGGCGTCGCATGAAACGCAGAAAGCGAGCTCGAGTGAATGGAAAACTCGGACTATTATGCTTGCAGTTTTTACAACTGAAAGTGAGAAAAAAAAAGAGGATAGAAGTTTTCGTGGGTATATTGGGTCAAGTTTTCTAACAGCTGCAAAATGATGAATACTAAAGATCAGAGAAACTTATATGCGATTAATGTATATAGGTATATATGTATGTGTGTGCGTGTGTGTGCGGTTAAAATATACATTTAAGAAAAAAAGACAAAATAAGAAAAAGACGTTGACAAAGGTTAAACAATGGTAGCGTTCTAATCTGCGCACCGATCAATATATATTTTACGTAAATTTTACAAAAGAGAGAAAAAGGCGAAGTAAAAGAACAAATATTGGAGAGTGAGGAAACCGAAAGATAGAGGTAGGCAAGGAGGGATCGGAGAGAGCGAGAACAGCAGGAAGAGAAAGAGATAGATGAGGCGAAATCAATAAGCAAGCTATCGACGAGTTGACTTTCCCGAGGAAAAGCCGCCGCAAAGTTCTCGCTCTCTGTCGATCGTCGCGAATTCTCGCGAACTGTCGAGGTGTCACCTGGAAGAATCACTCCCTGGAGATGGGGTAGGAGGTGGTCTTCCCTCGTACGACGGATTGCCTCTCCTGTGATCGTCGACGTGGGAAATCCCGCACGGATTTTCACCGTCGGCTGTCGGCTGCGACGAGGGATGCGACGACGGATGCACCACGCGCTGCGTTGCGCTCGGCCGACGATCGATTAATATTTAACGCACGGGGGCGCGCGGAGACGGGATGGCGAGGAGAGAGTGAGCAGTCAGCACAGGGGGATGATGTTCTCTCACGATGTTAACCGCGCTCGCTCACGATCGCACCCACGGCAAAGCACGGCACACGCACGAGGGGGTTATTTCGTAACAACGATTACAAGAAGACTGGACTGGCCCGCTCGGTGTGGCGTCTCGCGCACCGCCGTCACTTAAACCACCCGCTGGCTATAGTTAAAATATCGACCATTTCATACGACCCCCGCCCGTCCGCGGCTCAATCCGGGGGAAGATTCGCGCCTGCGCTACCCGCAACCCCGACTGACATCAATATACTCGTGAATAGAAGCACACGTTCACTAGACGAAAGAGGGAACACTTGTTGATCCGGGATGCTCTTGTCTTGAAATAACCCGCGATTTTCGATCAGGCTCGATCCTGCGCGAGATCCGTAGACTGATCGCGGCGCCGATGATGTTGTCGTTAGTTTCTTCAAATATTAATTTTTCTATAAGATTTTTTGTTACAAGTTTAAATAAAATTTATAATTAAGTAAGTAGTTTTTATGAAAAAATGGAAGAATTAAATGATCGACAGTTTTGATTAAGTATTTTTATTTATATTAAAAAATAAAATTTATAAAGTGTTTCTTATATAATCTGAATTCTTTTTACAAACATTATATATATAATATTTTTAACTAAAATTTATTATAAGCAGTGTGTGATTCTAACTTATTAATTTTAATCTCAAATATTTCAATTTACATAACACGCCACAGAAAATTTTTTGAATATTTTTGAATATTGCTTACGATCAGAGTATTCCAGCTTATATATAAGAGATATAATAATGATATAATGTTACATTTCATCAAAATATATTTTAATATTAAACATTATTTTTAGACTATCACAAATGAATGATATGTATTGCATTTGCGTTTTTATTAGTATGATTAAAATCTAATTTTTTTTTGTATTAGATTTTTTATCAACGCCATGTAAACATATTTAACTTAATTAAATTGCGAAAGTCTTCTTGAAATATTAAAGCTTTTATAAACAATAAAAAATAAATGTTCCGAGCTGATAAAACAATATTTGTTTCTCGAATATTTTGCTATTAATTAAGCAATATCGAGAAGCACTTTATGGCAACTGCTACGCTTTACGAAATAATACAAAATAATAAATAAAAACGCTAATTCTAACATTGTTTGATACACTATTGGTTCTAACTTTCCGCAGAAATTTTGGGAAAGTCATTTGGTTCTCCTGGTCTCTGTTGTATTGTTCTTAACTAATATGCTAATTAATCTTTATTTTTACAATTGATTGTCTTTCTCTCTCTGACTGCATTAATATCAATAACTCCATTAAAAAGAAAATTGCAATTGTACTATGGCGCATAAAAAAAGCTGCATAACTTGTCTTAGTTTTTAACGAAACTATTACAATAATTTTGTTATCAAAAGCAAAATATATGTTTGAAATGCAACAGTCAATAATTATAAAAATTTAACTTGTAAATCATTGATATTTGATCTACAATTTACTTTCGGTATTTTCGTCGTATATAATTGCCGGATTTGTGGCTGCCCATTTCTCCTTTGCCGCGTGTTGCTTTTTTGTAGGCCTGTTTTTCAGGTTCTGTATACCGGCGTAATGTTCCTCGATCTCTCTCAAGGTCCTACCTTCGGTCTCGGGTAATATCACGTACAGAAAGCACAGACCGGCAAAGTTGATAAAAGCGTAGAAGAGAAACGTGCCGGATAACGACATACCGTTTACCATGTAGAGGAAGGTTTTGTTCGCAGTCGACGTTAAAATGTAGCCGATCATACCGGCCGCGCCGCTTGCACTGCTGCGTACCTGAATTCAAAAACATTGGAAATAACGAAGAATTTCTCTACAGTTAATTACTCAGAATAATGTATAATACATTCAGTTTGAAAATGCGTAAAATTTGAAATATATTTAAGGATAAAGATAAAACTGATAGAACAGATAAAAGATATCAAACGAACCTTCACAGGGAAGACCTCGCCTGCCAGGATCCAAGGCAACAATCTGATACCGAAGTGCGACGCGAAAGCGGCGCCGATCATGAGAGTAGTCGGCATCCACGCATACTTGACGCCGTTAAGATAATCCGTATCGTTCAAATAATTGTAGACAGCAGTGATGAGGAAGCACAAGCCGGTGCCGATGATCGATAGGAAGGAAAGCTTGCGTTTTCCCATGAAATGAATCGACATCACGCAAACTATAGTACCGATCAGCTGGGCGACACCCAGGAACACCGTGGCCGTGTAATTGTCGATCGGCGCGTTCAGCTTCGCGAATATCATGACAGCGAAGGTTTGCAGAGTCGCGGTGCCGCCGAAGGAGCTAATGAAGAAGGCCGCACTGACCAGGATGAACGGCAGGTAGAACGTTCGTTTCGTATAGGATTGCCAGATTTTCTCCTTATCGGAATCAGTGCTGTCAGCCGGTTTCTGGACCGCCTGGCAGAGCGCCTGAAACTCATCTCGCACCTGCGACGGATTCACCCAACCTCTCAACCAGCACAGTGCGCGTTCCGATTCCGCGAGACGACCTTTAACTAAAAGAAATTCGAATAATGATATAAAAAGCAATGAGGATGAGAAACGCGGTTGTCGAAGTGTGAGAATTATTATTAATCAAGAAACAAAGAACATTTCGACAATTTTGGACTGAAAAAAATAAAGAAGAAAATGAAAAGTTTAGATTACACGAGAAAGCTAAGGTAAAGAGTGAAAATATCGATTTTGCGTTTATGTTAATAATAAAATTTACTAATTAGATAATTTTTTAAATAAATATATAATTTAATTAATCACCCACCGGCGAGCCAGTGCGGACTCTCGGGTACTAAACACAATGCGAGAAAGCAAAGAATGGGGTAAGCCAGATTGATTAACGCCACTGTTCTCCAGTGAGCCAAACTTCCGCTCAG